TGCGCGACAGCCGTCGCGATCGCGATTTGGCGCGGTCGCGAGAAAGTGAAAAATGGTTTCTCTTCGCGTGTCTCGTCACACACGAGCCGTGCACGTGGAACGGAAATACGCGGAGCAACGCGCGCGGTTTGCCGGCGTTGAATTTCGATGTGATTGCCACCGCGTTGCTTATATATTATGACAGCCAGTCGAGCGGCGGCATTTTATTCATATATATATATATATATATATTATTCGCGGCGATGAGGCCATCGATACGCCGATAATCGACTGCGCTCGCTCGACCGCTTCGAGAACCCTACGTCGCGTGTACATGCGCACGTTAGTCGCTAAGACAAACGCGGGAAGAGAGGCGCGTCGAGAGAAGGTGTGTATCTCGCGCTCTCAATCAGGCTCTTCTCTCCGATCGAAGCGAACGCAATTTATTTTCCATCGATTGTTTTTTTTTCTTTTTTTACGATTCGGTAGCGAAAGTTTAGATTCCGTTGATATTGTAAAAATTTAACTTTGAAACTTTAAAAACATTTCAATTTTTTACAACTGTCACAAAAGACAGCCAATATGAGAACGCAGGTTTTAGTGTGCGATCGATTGTGTTTTGAAACCTAACGTTTTGATCCCTGGATGGGATCATCTTCAGGAACAAAAACATACAAAATTTTCTGTAAAATATTGAAATTTAAATTGTCTATGAATTAAAAAAGCCCCGAAACTTCGCACAATACTCGACGTAACGTGGCAAATTTTAGCGGCGCCGTCGAGCATGGGACGTGCTCGAAACAAGACCAATTCGGATTTTTAGAACAAAAATTAACACAAATAAAACCGACCTACAATATGTACAATGCAATCGTCAAGTTTCGCGTAACGGAACGTCACCGTTTCCGCGAGGAATCGCGCCGATTCTCGCGATTCTTTCTCAATTCGCTTCGAGACTTCGTTGCGAGCTTAAGTCGCGATTTACACACACATTGGCAATAATAACACAGGATATTTCCGGGAATCTAGCGGGAGATATATCTCTGATATATATATGTGTGTGTGCATATTATGACGCGGCACGTGCTGTCGGACAGAATACCGTTAATGAACCGCAAGCGAAATCAAAACGGCATTTCTCTCTCCCTCTCTCGCTCTGGTGCCGTTAATTTCCATTTCTCTTCGCACGTGCCGTGACGCGCGCGGAAGTCTGGCTCGAAACCAACGATAATCAGGACGTGATAAAGGGGCGGCTTGCCGCAGCTCTCGGGTTTATCGCACCGCAGGGCGAGAGCGCATAGAACGCGCGCGCGCGCGCGCGTTTACACCGTCCGGGGGTGCGAAAGGGTTCACGCGAATGATAATCGCCGAGAATTACACACACACACACACACACACAGTACTGATAAAGTCTCCGTAGGCTTTGCGGGCAAAAGCGCCGATGAGTAGATGTGTCTGATCCAGCGCGATGTGTCAAAGAACTCGAAGCTGCTCTTTCAATAATCGATAAAGTTCAGAGCAAGAGACCGACCAGTCGATCGGACGATTATTATCGAACTGTGCACGAAGACACGGTGTGTTTTTCTATTCGGAAAAAAATGTGTGTCTCGAGACATCAGAGAATTATAAATAAAACGCGCGCGCGCGCAAAAAGAAAATGAAAGAACGCGCGCGCGGGTTTAGACGAACGTCGTCGTCGTCGTCGCGCGCGTTGGGGAATTACAACGGCGCAAATTGCAGCACCCGGGTAATGTTGAATAAGTAAGATGTTAATTGCGCGTTCGCTTTTTGCTCCGCGCGGCCCAGCTTCTGTTTGTTTCATATTTCACCGCATTGTTTTTTGTTCTTCTTTTTTTTTTTTTACCCCCGCTCGCTCGCAGACAGTAAACGAGATGTAGTAGCGGCCGTTTCGGAAGTCGGCTCCCAATTCTGTCTTGTTCACTTAACGAATTAGCGTTTAATTCCGACTAGCGTTCGTTTGTTGTTGCATCCGAGAGAGAGAGAGAGGCAATTTTCGCTCGCGAGAATTTGCACGACGACGGCTCTTTTACAGAGGATTTGCCCGTTTAATTCAATTTGTCACTTGTTAGAGGATCGCCTCTGTAGTCAACCAGTGCCAGTTCGCATCGCGTCGGTCTCTCTTTTGTATATCTTCAATTATACGCGCTTTGCGTTTACTTCCTGTCTGTTTGTTTGCGCAATCGTGTTCTTTGCGATTCCTCTTCTCCTTGACAACAACAAACAAGGGCGTATAATTACCGCGTAATTTGCATTAGCCTACTTTCGTTCACATTTGCGTCGTAATTTGCGTCGTTACATTGCCTCGCAATGTGACGATAATAAGTCGAATCGGCGAAATTCGGCGATTAAATTACTTCGAGGGAAATCGACTGATAGAGAGGAACCTAAAGAAGAACGGGAGGAGAAAGTCGCAATATGAGAAGACTCGGTCCCGACAAAATACCAATCGAGAGAGAAAGAGAGAGAGATTCGAATCGTTTTATTTTCTCGCACGTTGAAAAATAACAAAAAAAATAACATCCGTGGTTTGTTGCGACAAACGTGATTTGTGCCGCTGCGAGGTTCGGTGTGAAGTTGCGAATTGCACGTGTGGCACGTGACACAATGTGTGCGCGAAGCGTGCGCGCGCTTACACGTTATACACAGTCCAACGCAACTGCACATTGTGGTTTTGTACACGACACGGCAGTGCCGCAAAACATCTGCGCGAAGACAGACAGACTCGCGCGCGCGTTAGAGACAGGGCAGCAGCACTTGTTCAAACGTATGTCTCACACGTATGGAAATGCAATAAAAGCACGTGTCGCCGTGCGCGCAGCTTGCGTCATTACGTCTCTCGTGAACACGTTTTTATGTTTTAACGCGACGACGTTTCCTCTTTCGACAGGTACAATACGCGCGACTTTATTCGCCAGAAAAATTCCCCTTTTGTGATAAATTACTTTCACAATCAAGAAGTTATTATTTAATTTAATAAGTTAAATGGCGTTAAATTCTTGGTTTTTTGTTTAATAAATTGTTTCTTGTAGTTTGTTTTTTTTAGAACAATTTTAATTTGTAATAATGTAATTTTTCATTTAAGGTTTTCGCTTTGTAGTATAATTTTATTTCATAGTACGCAAGTTTGCGTGTCGAGCGCTGTTTTTCCTCGTTTTCCGCTTCCGGTCTTGCTTTTTCCGCTTGTCAATATCCCGGGATTTGTTTCGCCCGCGGGAAGACATCGGTCATCATTTTCTCGTTCCTCTTCCTCCTTTTTTTTTTTTTTTTTCCAGGACCGATCTCGGCGTATGTTATATGAACCAGCATAGTTTCATTTTATCGTCTTTACAGTCGAAGCTTTTCGCGATCGCAGGTCTCCTCTCTTCTCTCGTCTCCTTTTTTCTTTCTTTTTTTATTCTCTCGGCACAGTGGCTCTCGTTGACCTTAACGAGTTTTTCCCATTCGGCATCTCCGGCGACTCCTGCTTCCTTTCTCACGGTTCGCCGATCAGCTCTTGTTCGCGAGAGATATTCTGTTCCGACGAACACGCGCGGCTCGAGCGGAAAGTCGAAACGCTCCACGTCCATTGTCTCGATCGTCGCCGGCCGTTCGTTTGTAAAAAAAAAAAAAAAATAAATTATTCGCTCGGCCAAACGTACAGATCGTACAAGCACTTGTTTGAAACAATTAGGTCAATCGTTTAATTAAAACGAGTTTAATTAAGTAATTTTTTTCTTTTAATTTCAATTCCCGCAATTTACGGCTTCGATTTTTGCGCAAAACTACCGCTGCCCCAAAGAGAGAGACCGGCCGGAACTTCCTAACGAAAACGTCGTTTTCGCGCAACGAACAGATTGTCAAACACAAGAAAAAAAACACGTGTTGCCGCGCTCCGGTGCATTCCCTGTGAGCTATTGATTCTAGATCCAAACGCCATCATTCCATCTCGACAAATTAGCATAATGCTGCCGAAGGGCCTTTGCATATTCATCGCGCTACAGGTTGCAGCGTGTGTGCGCGTATATAGAAAATAGATCGTTATCGAGATAAAGTCGCTTAATTTCGGGTTGCTCGCGTTTAAGTTTAGTCGCGGTTCTTGACCGCGGGAAAAATCGCTCTTTTGACGAGTTCCGATAACATCTCGCGTATATACCTATATATGTACATCCATATACATGCGTGCGTGCCCCGCGTTCGGAGAATTACGCACGCTCTCGGTGTTTCGCGCGTCGCCCAAGGCGACAGCTGTCTCGTCGCGGGTGCTCGTAATATTGCAAAATGTATCCCATCGGACGGATAATATATTAAGTCGTCGTCCTTCCCCCTCTCTCTCTCTCTCTCTCGTCGCGCGCTCGTTAACACAATCGGTCCGTTTGATATCGCGAGCGATATAATCACGTGTACATGTCCGTTCGATAATTTGAATATCGATCGCTACCGCGAGATGTCGTAATCTATTATGCTAACACACAAATTGTCACATCACTCGGGCTGTAAACTAACGACGAATGATGGGAAAGTGGGCGCTCGCGAAACGTTTTCCGGAAAAATTCTTCCGGTAATCGAAACGAGACTCCGATTAGTTAACGGAGTGTTTTTTTTTGTTTTTTTTTTTTTTTAATTCGCATTCTCGCATCGAAATTCTATTTCGACAAAAAATTTTATCGTAGTCAGCAATACTCGCGATGATTCTTTATGTGCGAGAAGCATGCGCGCACGATTCACGCGATTCGTTAAACGTCCTTCCAGAGAGAGGAAGGAAGAAGAGATTTATACGGC